TAGCCCCCTTTCCCGTAGTGCTCTCCCCTCGTCCCTTAGATCTCTCTCCTCCTGTCTCCTAGTGCTCTTTCCTACCCTCCCACCGTTCCTTGGTGCTCCCCCATCCCGTAATGCTCTCTCCTAGCCCACCTCCCCCATAGAGTTCTCCCCTGCCCTTTAGTGGTCTCTCCTCTCCTACCCTGTCCCTTAGTGGTCTCTCCTCCTCCCACCCCATTATTTATTTATTTATTTAGAAAATATTTTACCAGGAAAGATACATTGAGATTTCTCTCGTTTTCAAGTATGTCCTGGGTCCACAAATCATTGCATTGATTAGGGCACATTTTGTGTTAGGGCACAACAAAATACAAAAACAATATTAATATACAATATATACAAAAGTTAGTGGTCTCTCCTCTCCCCCCCCCATTGGTCTCTACTCTCCTCCTTAGTGTACTCTCCTCTTCTTCCCCTTTCAAATTGTAGTAGATTTCTCCTGCTTCCTTTCCATGGCTTCGGATTATACTGCTCCTCTGCCCCTAGTGGTCTCTCTCCTCCTTCCATTGGTTATTATACCTCCCTCTCCTTTTCCATTAGTGATTACCCTCCTCTCCCCCCCCCCTCCCCTAGTGGTCTCCCCTCTCCCCCCTCATTATCTCTCCTCTCCTTCCTAAATATCTTACTTTTCGATGTAGAGCCGCTGAAGGTACAGACCTGCATGTCTGGTGGGCATGCCCCCGAATCACAGGTTACTGGCAACAGGTACATGACAAACTCTTGGAAATCCTTGAAGAAGACATTCCCATGGAGCCCTTGCCCATGTTACTCAACCATACGCAAATGCCAATATCACGATACAAAAAATCTCTAATTCGGCACTTCCTCAACGCCGCCAAGAGCCTGATCCCCGCCAGATGGAAGTCGACCGATGTCCCCACGCTATCTCAATGGCTAGATAAGATAGACGAGATATACAAGATGGAGACCCTCACGGCAGAGCTCCGGGGAACACAGGAACGCTGCACCCGACTGTGGACCCCCTGGATCACTTTCATGGCGGACCGGGGACGGGGGTCGCCGGCCCATTGGGGGTCCGGGGAGGAGGCTGGTGACGGCCGACGGGTGGACTTGGGGGGCACTGGGGCATGAGGCGCCCCCCCTCCCCTTTTTTTTTTTTCTTTTTTTTTCTCTTCTCTTCTCTTCTCTCTCTCTTCTCTTCCCTGTCCCTCTCCCGCGCCAGCGCCTGGGGGGACCCGGCACACCCACCTATTAACACACGGGCTCCGATACATTTGGCCTGAACCCCGCCCATACAAGACACACACCACACAACCCGGATCTGGTCTTGACGGGAATCAGGCGCCCCACGCGCACATCGTCACCAACCCAGTTCACATAGGCGACTATGAACTAGACTGAGACTGTGTAGAGAGAGCCACACTAGATGCACATAGTCAGCCGGAAGCCCAAAATGGAGCCCGCCACGCACGCACTGGCCCTACGGGGGCGACCGGGGGGTTCCCGGGGGGTGGAGGGTTCACATGACACCACCAGGCCCGGACATCTGACGGCTCCAGGGGGACCAAGACGACCTGGACGTGGCCCCGACTCGGCCACCCGAGAGAGCGGCCGGCCCTTGGGCCGCTTGCCCCTGCACAAGATCTGGGGGCTGCAGGAGACCAAGAGGCGCCCCTCTCTCCTCAGGGGGGGCGCGGGGGCGCTTTGGCACCCAGGCCCGCACGAATACCTCCCCCCCTGGGGAGGGGAGCTCAACCCACACCTTAAACCAGGGTGCCCAGGCCCAACCGCGTCACGAGGCACATACTCACCTATCTTCCGCCTCACCCATAACCTTCCCCACAGAGGACCCGGGGCTGGGGGGCGGGGGATGGGGGGGGGAATGGGAGTAACGGTGCCCCTACTGGCCTTGGGGGGGTCACACCTGCCGCCTGGGAAGAACCAGGCCACCAACTGAGCAACAGCAGTGGGCTCGCACCCCAGTAAGGGTGGACGATGCGGGAAGGGGTTTACCAAATGGGGTTATTAGCGTAACATTGTTATGGAAATATATGTTTGCACTGTTATTTCTTGTCAAACCACAAAACTAAATAAAGAATGTCAAAAAAAAAAAAAAAAAATATCTTACTTTTGTCAAGGATCGTCAACTGCTTTGCAATCAAACACTATGAACTCCAGAGAGCACGGTTTCCCAAACTGTGGGTCGCCGGCTGATTTTTGATGGGTGAACTCCCTGCCAGAGCCATCTGAGTCCACGGGCTCGTCGAAATTCGTTTTTTTGGTAATTTCGGGCCAGGAGGATGGGGTCCCACTGGTTTGGTGGGCATAAAGCCCCTGGCCAGGGACTTCTTCACTGATTGTGCAACTGCAGCATTGATAAGTGATTGCAAATCACTAGATGGTTGTGATTCCTTTGAATTATGAAGAAATGTACAAAGGCAACTAACCTATACAGTTTAATTAGTATATGGCACAGTTATGTGGTTATGCTAACACCCCACTGCTGGCCACAATTCTGAATATATCAAAACAGATGAACACAGGCAACACTCCAAGATCAGGATGGTAAGTTTATTTACGGATAGACCACCTAATAAAAAAGTGCAAAGTTTACACATTGGAAATTTTGTATCCTTATGCATGATTAAGGCTCTGCTGAGACGAAACCTCGCACTTTGCACTTTTTATGAGGTGGTCTACCCGTAAATTAACTTACCATCCTGATCTTGGAGTGTTGCCTGTGTTCATCTGTTTTGATAGCTAGCTGGTGGATTCAACAGTGTCCACCTCTACACGGAGCACCTCCTTGGTGGATGGCCGGAGCTTCAACGTAGAACCAATGTGCAGGGTTTACTGTTTCTGGGATACACAATTCTGAATATAGTCAATATGCCCTACTGTAAAATGCCATATTGTAGAGTAGGGTGTGGACTAACCACACAGACCTTAACCAACTAAGCGCCCCTATAAAGATACACTGGAAAATGTAGGCACCTCTTAAAGGTCTAGACACAATACCCCTATAATGTAGTCAATCACAGATAATAGTGCAGGTGCCATATGGACCAGAACCAACAGTCTCACTTCCCACAGATGTAAAATGGCCACTGCACCTATACAAGTACCAAGATTGCCACGATGTGGGAGCCGCAAAATGGTCATCGGACCCGCGCAAACTGGAATTGGGGCTGAGCCGTCATGTGGTACCAAAAGAGGCACAGCCCGAATTGAACGGAAGCTTTGTGAGGTCTGGATAATTGCACTACCATAAAATAAAAATACAAACCATAATTTGTTTCTTATGTGGATAAGAGACAAATGATAACCTAGAGAAGCAGGAGTATTTGAGAATAAGGGCAGAACCCACTGACAGGGTGGCAGGGAAGAGACAATCCGGAGTTAGGTGAAAATAAAGGTAGACCACACTGACAGGGTGACTTAGGGTTAGAGACTCTGTAAGAGAAATCACAATAGCACTTAAGCATAATGCATTTCTGAGCAGTACATATAACAGCAAAGAAAGAGTAAGTGGTTCCTAATGTTCTGCCTATTAAGTTTTTATTTTTCTGATTTTTGATAATTATTGTTTGCTGCAATTGGAGATGGATTAAAGAAAGAATGCAAACTATGAAGCCTCCTGTCATAATGGTAATTGGTGAGGAGAAATCTGATCTTTGTGTTTTTTGTTGTCATCAGACTCTGTGCTTGGGAGCGTAGTGCTGGCCATGGAGTGCCTGTAACATGCCCCCCAACTCGAATAAGGTACACCAGGCAACAAAATCAGAACGGCGGGATAGGACCCCAAAATTGGGACTTTCACAACGTACATGGGTGCAGTTGGAAGGCCTGTTTTGTTCTCCCCGACTAACAAACAAGAAGTTGCAATAAGGCAAAGCAGATGTACAGGAATAGGAGGAGGCGGCAGCCCTGTTCTAACCAGCTTGCATTCAGTGTTTAGTGAATAAACCTAACATTTATGTATCATTTATTCTGCTCGTACCAAGCTGTGCGGGAGCAGTAAATGGCACACACAACACTCAAACAATTTGATAAACACAGCTATTCTAAGTGTAGGATTGAGATATTTGGTAGGGTTTAAGCAATAAATTAAACGATTAAAATATGTTTTGCAGTACGACTTCTGATAGCACCTTGACTTGCGTATGTTAAACTCGTTGTAAGAAAAATCAGTCGATCAAGTAGGACAAACCAAAATTAAGTACATTGACAGCTGTGGCAGACGTATGCAATGTATGATCATATTTTGTTACTATTCTCCGATTACTTATAGTCATGTGTCTTGTTTGCCGTCTATTGAATTTAAAACTAGTTTGCGGTATAGTAAGTTATTTTTTTTTATTTTTTTCTACATTTTGTAATTGTTTTCCATTCACTATAGTTTGTTATTTAATATAAAACCCCCTCAGAGCCTCCTGCAGCCACACATCCATGATAAAATAAAACCAGCACTAAACTCCAAATTCTGTAACTTTGCGTCATTATTGCACAAATCCCAACCCGCACATTAGTAATTATGACGCAGAATATGCAACCAGCTGTTTGAACTGTGCCTATGACCTGACATGCTGGCCAGGCTGGTTAAACCACAATGAAGGCTATAATCTGTCACTGCTTTGCACAAAGAGACTTATAAAACACCCTTAGCCGCCATTTTGGTGGAGTTCAGCAAACGTGAGAGTTGAACTTCGGAAAAATGGCCGCCGATGCTCGGCTCTAGCGCTGTACATCTACGGCTTGTGAACGGAGGCGGAGTTATGCCTTTGACGTCACACGCCCACCAGGAAGTATCGCTCTCTGTGAGTGGCGTAGCGGTGCTGGCGGGGTGGCTCAGGTACTGGCAGAGACAGGTGCCCTGACTTCCGGTAGGGGTGTTACTGGAAGATGAGGTGAGAAACCCCAGACCTGCTCCCAGGTGGCTTTATTCTGTCTGAGAGGGGGGGGCAGGGCAGGTTTGGGATCACAGTTCCGGGTACTTAGTATTGTTATGGTTTAATAACTGGGTGCTTTGAGTTAGCTTGTGGGAGGGAGGAGGGGATAAAGCTGGCATTGGAAGTGGCTGTATGGGTAACATGGGGTACAGCTGTGTCGGGGTCATTGGAGATGGCTGTGTCTGGGTCATTGGAGATGGCTGTGTCGGGGTCATTGGAGAGGGTTGTGTCGGGGTCATTGGAGAGGGTTGTGTCGGGGTCATTGGAGATGGCTGTGTCTGGGTCATTGGAGATGGCTGTATCGGGGTCATTGGAGAGGGCTGTGTCGGTGTAATTGGAAATGGCTGTGTCGGGGTCATTGGAGAGGGTTGCGTCGGGGTCATTGGAGATGGTTGCGTCGGTGTCATTGGAGATGGTTGCGTCGGTGTCATTGGAGAGGGTTGTGTCGGGGTCATTGGAGATGTCTGTGTCTGGGTCATTGGAGATGTCTGTGTCTGGGTCATTGGAGATGGCTGTGTCGGGGTCATTGAGAGGGTTGTGTCGGGTCATTGAGAGGGTTGTGTCGGGGTCATTGAGGGCTGCAGTCGGTGTAATTGATATGGCTGTGTCGGGGTCATTGGAGAGGGTTGTGTCGGGGTCATTGGAGAGGGTTGTGTCGGGGTCATTGGAGATGGCTGTGTCGGTGTCATTGGAGATGGCTGTGTCATTGGAGATGGCTGTGTCATTGGAGATGGCTGTGTCGGTGTCATTGGAGATGGCTGTGTCTGTGTAATTGGAGATGGCTGTGTCGGGGTCATTGGAGATGGTTGTGTCGGGGTCATTGGAGATGGCTGTGTCGGGGTCATTGGAGATGGTTGTGTCGGGGTCATTGGAGATGTCTGTGTCTGGGTCATTGGAGATGTCTGTGTCTGGGTCATTGGAGATGGCTGTGTCGGGGTCATTGGAGAGGGTTGTGTCGGGGTCATTGGAGATGGCTGTGTCGGGGTCATTGGAGAGGGTTGTGTCGGGGTCATTGGAGATGTCTGTGTCTGGGTCATTGGAGATGTCTGTGTCTGGGTCATTGGAGATGGCTGTGTCGGGGTCATTGGAGAGGGCTGTGTCGGTGTAATTGGATATGGCTGTGTCTGGGTCATTGGATATGGCTGTGTCTGGGTCATTGGAGATGGCTGTGTCTGGGTCATTGGATATGGCTGTGTCTGGGTCATTGGAGATGGCTGTGTCTGGGTCATTGGATATGGCTGTGTCTGGGTCATTGGATATGGCTGTGTCTGGGTCATTGGAGATGGCTGTGTCGGGGTCATTGGAGAGGGTTGTGTCAGGGTCATTGGAGAGGGTTGTGTCGGGGTCATTGGAGAGGGTTGTGTCGGGGTCATTGGAGATGGCTGTGTCTGGGTCATTGGAGATGGCTGTGTCTGGGTCATTGGAGATGGCTGTGTCGGGGTCATTGGAGATGGCTGTGTCGGGGTCATTGGAGAGGGCTGTGTCGGTGTAATTGGAAATGGCTGTGTTGGGGTCATTGGAGATGGCTGTGTCGGTGTAATTGGAAATGGCTGTGTCGGGGTCATTGGAGAGGGTTGCGTTGGGGTCATTGGAGATGGTTGCGTCGGTGTCATTGGAGATGGTTGCGTCGGTGTCATTGGAGATGGTTGCGTCGGTGTCATTGGAGATGGTTGCGTCGGTGTAATTGGAGATGGTTGTGTCGGTGTAATGGGATATGGATGTGTCGGGGTCATTGGAGAAGGTTGTGTCTGTGTCATTGGATATGGCTGTGTCGGGGTCATTGGAGAGGGTTGTGTCGGGGTCATTGGAGAGGGTTGCGTCGGTGTCATTGGAGATGGTTGCGTCGGTGTCATTGGAAATGGTTGCGTCGGTGTAATTGGAGAGGGTTGTGTCGGGGTCATTGGAGATGGTTGTGTCGGTGTAATTGGATATGGCTGTGTCGGGGTCATTGGAGAGGGTTGTGTCGGGGTCATTGGAGATGGTTGCGTCGGTGTCATTGGAGAAGGTTGTGTCGGTTTCATTGGAGAAGGTTGTGTCGGTGTAATTGGATATGGCTGTGTCGGGGTCATTGGAGAGGGTTGTGTCGGTGTCATTGGAGAAGGTTGTGTCGGTGTAATTGGATATGGCTGCCGGTAATTGATACGCCGGTAATTGATATGGCTGCGCCAGTCATTGGAGATGGCCAAGGCCGGTGTCATTGAGATGGCCGCTACCGGGTGTCATTGAGAGGGCTGTGTCGGTCATTGGAGAGGTGGTTGTGTCGGTGTAATTGGCCATGGCTGGTCGTGGGTCATTGAGAGGCTATCGGGTCATTGAGAGGAAGCCAAGGGCCGGGTCATTGGACAGGCCGCGCCGGTGAATTGGATATGGCCAAGGCCGGGTCATTGGAGATGGCCAAGGCCGCGTCATTGGAGATGACAAGGCCGGTGTCATTGGAGATGGCTGCGTCGGTGTCATTGGAGATGGCTGCGTCGGGGTCATTGGAGATGGCTGCGTCGGGGTCATTGGAGAAGGCTGCGTCGGGGTCATTGGAGAAGGCTGCGTCGGGGTCATTGGAGAAGGTTGCGTCTGTGTCATTGGATACGGTTGTGTCGGGGTCATTGAAGAGGGTTGTGTCGGGGTCATTGGAGAGGGTTGTGTCTGGGTCATTGGAGATGGCTGTGTCGGGGTCATTGGAGATGGCTGTGTCGGGGTCATTGGAGATGGCTGTGTCATTGGAGAAGGTTACGTTGGTGTCATTGGAGAGGGTTGCGTCTGGGTCATTGGAGAGGGTTGCGTCGGGGTCATTGGAGAGGGTTGCGTCGGGGTCATTGGAGAAGGTTGCGTCGGGGTCATTGGAGATGGCTGCGTCGGGGTCATTGGAGATGGCTGCGTCGGGGTCATTGGAGATGGTTGTATTAGCTGTGTCGGTGTCAATGGAGAGGAGTGTATAGGTGTCATTGGAGATGGCTGCGTGGGCGTTATTGGCGAGGGCTGTGTTAGTTGTGTCAATGGAGAGGAGTGTATAGGTGTCATTAGAGATGGCTGCGTCGGCGTCATTGAAGATGGCTGTGTTAACTGTGTTGGTGTCACGGGAGAGGGCTGCGCCGGCGTCACTGGAGAGGGCTGCGCCGGCGTCGCTGGAGAGGGCTGCGCCGGCGTTGCTGGAGACGGTTGTGTCAGTGTGATTGGAGATGTCTGAATCGGTGTCATTGGAGGTGGCTCTGTAGACCTCAATGGAGGCTCCTCCTGCAAAGTGAACATTGGAGGTTAATGTATAGTAAGCATAGCTGTATAGAATGAATTGGGGTGATTTCGGTGTATGAATACCTGGGACCATTCAACGTTGTTACTCCTTCTATAAGGTGAATGGGCATGCAATCTAAAAATTTGGTGCACAGTTGCAATTCTCAAAAAGATTGGTTTGAACGATGTGTCAACCTTAACACGCCTTAGCCAAGTCTTCCTTTGTGTCCAGTAACCATTGACCTTTCCTATCTATTTATAGAGTTCAGCTCACCAGCACCATGGGGAGTGGGGGGAGGTGAGGTTGACAAAAAATGTTTAATTGTGTAGAAGTCCAAATTACTTGCATATTATAAAATTAAAATTCAGTTTTCGGCTTACAATTTAAAATAAATTTTGAATTCCCATAAATTCACTGTATTTGTGTTGGTGGTTTCCATTGAAATTGTGTGTGTGTAAAGGGAAACTACAGCCAATTCCAGCTTATGCTTTAGTCAGCCTAGCTCTGATGACGTCCTTCAGATGTTCTCATCCTGAACTATGAGGCTGTGATACTGAACATCTTCATAGACACAATGTGAGGCTTGAGAAATGACATGTGTGTCTGCACTCCCTTGGCATTTGCATTTTGCATCTGTTGCCAAGCACATTCAATTGGAAGCCTGCAGGCCTTTAATACCTAAATTACTGACTTGTATCATGTTGTCAAACTAAATTTTGATTAATATACCATGTATGCGGTTCATCGAGAGCTGATAAATTTGTTAGCACTGTATAAATTCTTAAAGGGACACTATAGTCACCAGAACATCTACAGTTTATTGTATTTGTTATGATGAGAATAATCATTCTCTTCAGGCTTTTTGCCTGAAAAAAGACAGTGTTTACATTAGAGCCTAGGGATATCTCCACTGGCCACTTCTCAGATGGCTGTTACTGGTGCTTCCTGGGTCAGTGCTGCACAGTGTTACTGCCATCCAGTGTCTCCAAACTCTGCATGGAGAAACTGTACTTTTCTCCTATCAATCTCATTGATTCACTACATCTTGATGAGGATATGCTGATTGGCCAGGGTGGCGTTTGGCTTCACACCAGGCTTTCTTATGGTAAAGCATTGGGATTGGCTCAGATTATCATAACTTCTGATGATGTTAGCCAAGCAGGCAGATCATGGGCAGAGCCAGCATTTGCAGACTGGAATAAAGGCACAATTTTATTATATTTAAGGGGGCAAGGTGGTGGCTAGATTGTGATTTTGACACTATAGGGTCAGGAATACGTTTGTGTTCCTTACCCAATAGTGTTTCTTTTAAGAAGTTAATAAAAAAGTACAGTGTTGGTGCCCGATACCACAGGACATGTTCAGAGGTCTTGTGGAGTCCATGCCTTGACGCATCACAGCTGTTTTGGCAGCAAAAAGGGGACCTATACGACCTATACGATATTAGATAGGTGGTTTTAATGTTGTGACTGATCAGTGTAGAATTGTAAAACCTGTAGAAATTCAAACATTCTGACTAAATGCCCCCTTTCTTCCCTCAGTGTGACTGTTACCACAGTCCCTCTTTTTGGAAGGCCACAGCAATTAAATGAATTCAGTTTCCCCCACCGCTGTTCAGTATGGGAGCCCAGAAGCATCACGACGAACATTGGGACACAAAAACCCTAGCAGCCGTAATGATCAAACCAAGATGGGTTCAGAAGGAGCCTCCCGGGATGGTGAGGCTGATGAGGTGGATAAGATCAAGAGCAAGCTGTTGACCGCGTGGAACAATGTAAAATATGGTAAGAATTTCTGTAAGCTGGGACTCGAATCCTTTTTCCAACGGTCCCAGTAATTACTGGAATGAGCAATGGTAAACTGCAGCGGATTAATCTGACATGGGAAAAATGTATACGGTACAAG